TGGCAAGTTTCCTTGACTTGGAATGGATTGTTAGTATTACCCATGTGATTCATTTTCTTTGTGAGACTCTTCAGCGGTTACTCGAACACATCTCATGCACACCTATCATATTATTAGGGGTCATTTCATCAGATTGCGCCATATCACGAAATCACCCCGCAGAATGATTCTATATTGTAGGTATGAAGAGGATTGTCTTATTATTGGAGCTATGATTCCTGACTATATAGACCCACTATCGTCCTTGCCATATTGAGCTTAACATCGCACCCCACATTCCACTCATGGATTGTCCAGTACGTACTTGAGGAATCACTACTTGAAGTATTTACATTATGTTATGTTACCAATAAATTCGTGACACTATCTACGATACTATATCTCTAATCTATCTGTCTATCTAATTTCATACCAAAACCCTCTATCTCTACAATATAATATCCGGCACCACATCCTACACAAAGAAATACCTACCTACCTACCTACCTACCTACCTACTTGTCCACCCACCTATCTACCTACTCATAGAATACAGTAATGTCCTTCACCAACATCCCAATTCTCGACCTCTCGCTGGCCAGAACCCCAGAAACTAAATCCGAGTTTTTGAATCAGCTCCGCCATGCATTACTCGAAGTAGGATTTTTGTATCTGAAGAATATCGGAATTCCTCAGGAATTAATAGATAATGTAGTAGAAGAGGGAGTGAAATTCTTTGATCTTCCTTTGGAGGAAAAGTATGTTTTGTTTTTCGTTCTGTGCTAGTACTCAGCTCACTTTCCTTAGGACCAAAATCCAAATGGTCAACGCCCCCTCATTCCTAGGCTACTCACCCCTCTCCGCCGAAATCACCGCCCACGCAATCGATCAGCGCGAACAAATTGATCTCTCGACTCCTCACCCCATCCCCACTCCTACCGATCCCCTCTACTACAATCTACTTGCACCGAATCTCTGGCCCTCTTCCACGCATCTCCCTAATTTCCGTCCTGTTTTCGAAACTTACATCAAGCAAATGGGCGATGTATCTCTATTCTTTACATCGTTAATCGCAGAAGCTATTGGATTACCCTCTAATGCGTTTGAGCGTTTTTTCGACATAGATCAACAGCATAAACTAAAAGTGGTTAAATATCCGGATTTGAAGGAATTGGGTCTTTCGCCTGAACAAGAAGGTCAGGGTGTAGGTCCGCATAAGGATGCGATGTTGACGTCGTATTTGCTGCAGGTGGGTGATAAGAAGGGCTTACAGGTGCAGAATTTGAGAGGGCAGTGGATTGATTGTCCTCCGATCAAAGGGACGGTGGTAGTGGCTATTGGACAAGGCATGGAGGCGCTGACGAAGGGTGTTTGTATGAGCACTACGCACAGGGTACTGAGCCCGGAGTATGGAAAGGGTCCGAGGTATAGTGTGCCGTTTTTTCAGGGGGTGAGGGGGAGTACCAAATTTGAGGAGTTGAACGAAGTGGGAATAGGGGAGGTGAAGGAGGAGGTAAGAGAAATGAGGCGAAGGGTTTTGGAGAGTGTGGGGGGTAGATTGGATGATGTGGAGTTTACTTTTATAGGGGGCGGAAAGGCGGAGACGCTAGGAGAGGCGACATTGAGAAATAGGATTAAAAGCCATGTAGATGTGGGAGAGAAATGGTATCCTGAGATACTTGCAGATATAAGAGTAGAGCAGGAGGAGGAACGCAGACAAAAGAATCTGCCAGTCACTCCACCCGCCGAAACGTAAGATAGAGAGATATTCATTTTTTCAGATGGATTTAATGTTCCAAACGAAGTCTCCTGAGAATCAGGACCCTCTGATCATTCGACTGCGGTCCGGGCTTCCAGGATAGTCCCGATCCTTACCCATCACAAAGTAAGGCACACATTTGCAGATAAGAAGCAGATTCTTCTGACTCAAGTAGCTAGTCTGCTAGCTTGTGTTAAAAACGCCGTTATAGCTCTCCCTCCCATGCGCCAATCGCTCGCTCGTCTTTCGCAAATCGAAATTCTCTGATCATCAAAAGCCAAAAATCCCATCTACCACATCTGTCTAACCATAAAATATCGTGTCTTCGTCGTTTGCGTCGTACGAAATCGTAAGGTGTGTCGCACAAAGAGGTCTCGAGAATCTATTTCTTAGCAGGCACTGCAGCCTGTTGGGCCATAAACGAGGGGAAGCAGAGCTCCGGTCCTTTTGAGTGCTTGTTCATGGCGTGTTCGGTGAGACTGGTGTTGGGATATCACTGTTAGTTTTAATTCGGGTTGTATCTCTCAAGGAGATAATGATTGCGGGTCCCTCAAAATTCCTTCCTTCTTTTCTTCTTTCCTTTGGAAATTTCCCCGCCCTCCGCACAATTCTCAGAATATGCGCATCTTCTCTTCGGATTGGCAGTTATGCCAAGTCGTGTAAATATATATAAATATGTATCGCAAAAGAAAAGAACCACTCACGCAGGAAGTCTGGTCGTTTTCAAGAAAGTGGTTTTGCAAATATCGCACTGAATATCCTTCGCCGACTCGTTGACCTTCAGTTGCGACTTTGCGACACCCTTCTCAGCATCCTTTTGATTTCGTGCACGCTTGGAAGCTGCTTTGGCGCCCTGTAAAAAGGTCAGGCCTACATTATCTAAATGCGATGATCATAGTTCATGGTCGAAAAACTGGGTTGAGAGGCCCCCGAGGTGGAGAATCTCTCCTTGATTGATTGACCGCATAAAAGAAATTGGGGAGATAAAAGAATAGGGTAAAGAACTTGAGATCAAACTTACGTTACCTCCTCCCATTTTGAAAGATGTTTTTATTTGAATTAAGAAGTTATTATTTTATTGTGTAGAGGATTGATGAACGAAGACAGATGATTCAACGGACGGCAGAAGAAGAAGAAGAAGAGAAGATGCAGAAATGAAGAAATTCTAGAACTTATTATTATGCGTGTACCAATCAAATAACACAACTTTTTTGTTCTGGCTTTTGGCCTTTTTGCTTACTCAGTATAATAGACACCCAGATAGACTTTATTTCATTTTGGTTTCATATCTCTTCTATTTTGCGCTTATCAAAGAATTATTTTTAATTTATGTAGTTCGCTTACTTATACAAATTAGATTGATTTGAGTAACAATTCTAATCACTAACTAATACTAAAATGGTAGCAACATTTCCCTCATAACATAAATTCACGTCGCGTCGCGCATCTCCCTCTTCTCTTTTTTATTTTACTTTTATTTATTTTCGAAAATAAAAACTTTCATCAAATTCATCAATAAAGTATCAAAATCATTCTTGAATGCTTCGTACCATTTCAAATTCTCTCAATCCTCTATTCGGAAGTCCAAAAAAATCGACGGATTCAGATCGTTTTGAGGGAGAGAAAGCTCATAGACTCAATATGTCTTCACCGAATGATATTACTCTTGCGGAGTTCAACCAAACTTTGGCAAGATATCCTACTCTACTCAACAAGTATGCAAGTGATGGTCAGTTCGATCTTTCTTTAATCGTTTGCAAAAGATTACGTGGTTGATTTTCTATTCTTTATAGCAAGGGAAGGTGTCACTCCGCTTCAAGAGCTTGATAGATATAGATATGTTGAAGCACCAGCAAGATTTAAAGATGGATCACACACTTTTACTATTGAAGATATTACGAAGTTGGTTGACTGGAAGCTGTAAGTTTGTTCTATTCAAATTTTTGTACTGTTTTCAATTGTTTTCTTTTTTCGCGATATTTGTTTGGCAATCGGTAGGTGGAGTAGATGCCCGTGTTCTGAGCTATGAAAATCGGCTTTTCGGCGTCTTTCACTTTTCTATTCCACCAAAAAATTACGAAAAAATTATTCATCTAATTTTTGTTGATTTCTGGTGTCTAAATTTTCCATTCAATATTTTTTGGATTTATTTCGATATTAATTTATATTTAGTCGACATGGTGCATACCGTCCGGGTTTCCTAAAGAAGGTCGGAAAGAACACAGACGAGGCGGTTGAGGCTGCTACTAAAGATGCTTTCGATTACTACAAGACCAATCCCACAGATATTGGCACCGTCATCAACAAGCTCAAGGAGCCATTGATGGGAATTGGACCAGCTACTGCCTCTCTCATCCTCTCCGTTTATGATCCAGATCATGTGACATTCTTCAGTGATGAGGTCTTCAAATGGCTCGTCAATGATGGCGAGCACAAACCAACCCCAAAATACAATGTTGCCGAGTTCGAGAAAGTTCACGCTGCTGCAAAGACCTTGGCATCTCGTCTCCGTGTCAACCCCCTTCAGATCGAGAAGGTTGCTTTCGTCATCATCAAGGAGTCTGAACCAGTTCTCGTACCAAAGGAGAAGCCAGCTCCAAGTGGCCGTGGTCGAGGTCGTCCACCCAAGCCTGATAGTGAGAAAAAAGTCAAGGCACCATCAGGACGTGGACGTGGACGACCTTCCAGCGGTATCGTCAAGCCCAAACCTACCCCTAGAGTTCCCAAAGCTCCCAAGGAACCAAAGCCTGCCAAGGAACCAAAAGCTGCCAAGGAACCAAAAGCTACTAAAGAACCGAAAGCCGCTAAGGTTCCCAAGTCTCCAAAAGCAAAGGCCCCAGCTGCTGACGTTGAGAAGAAGACTCCTGGTAAAAGAGGAAGACCAGCAAAAGCCGCTCCTGCAGAAGGCACTACTACTGCTACTCCAAGCTCAGGCAAGAGAGGAAGACCTGCAAAGGATGCTACCGCTACTCCAGGATCCGCCACCCCTGTTAGCAAGAAGAGAAAGGCAGCCGATGATGCTGCTACACCAGTCTCCGCTGGTCGTGGTCGTCCCAAGAAGGTCAAGGCTTGATTTTCTTTCTTCTCATCTGGTACAATCATTTAGGAAAGGGTTCTTGGGATACGGACTCTTTCTTTTCCGAGAATATTCATGTGCATGCAGGTGTTTTTTCAAAGTTCGTCTAGGTAGCTCTGATTGTCTATCTCGTCTCGGTAAACAGGGCACATGGTTCAAAGAGCGTTGGGGTCTCGCGCTGAAGGGTTTTCATTTTTGCTTAATCGGGCGTTGTTGATACGGGATATGAACGTGATGGTTGGCGTGGCATGGATACAATTGTTTTTTGGGGGGGTTTTTTCTCTCTCTTTGGCTCACTCAGGTGTTTGTATGATAACACACCATGTAATTACATAAGTGCTTGCTTAGAAGCAATAAAATGTTTCTCAGCGGCGTTTTGTTTTTGATTCCATTTGATGTTTTGAATGCTTGTGCGTGCCGTGCCGTGCCGTGCTGTGCTAGTTTGCTTTGATGGATTCGATTAGACGGTAACTGAGGAAGACGGTCGGACCAGGATGTCCAATAGTCCAGACTTCAGACTGACAGTCTAAATTTAAGCTTTCAATAACAAGAAATTTTTTGGAATGTTGGATGTAATTCATTCACTATCCAAACACAATCCACTATTTCAAATACTCTAAATACCCATCTAATCATCTAATTATCCTTAATTAACAATCCAAAAGTTTATACTATACATATCTATTTAAATTTAAATATAATTCATCAATCTTATCCCAATTAATTAACCTTCCCAATAAAATAATCATACCAAATAAATCCAAGAAATTCAAACCTTTCCATTCACTATTAATTAAACTACAACCTGGACTAATTATTGGATAATTAGATACCCTGGGATTCCGAAGACCTACCACCACTTCACATTTGCCTGTCGATCGATTTGATTTGGAAAATGGTATATATAGGTTAAGCATAAGTATAAGTATAAATCTCATCATCTATTTAATTACCAAGCCGTCGCAGACACATATACATATACATACATATATATAATCAACCACCAAACAACCCATCAATCAAAAATAAACTTTACAAGTAATACACGATCCAATGCATTCTCTTCCTCTCATTATTCAGCCATCGTCCTATTTCCTGCCAGTGTTTCGAGCAATATGCCAGTATCTACGAAGAAATTATATTATATCGGGTTTTTTGGGTCGCTGCTAAGTTATGTATATATATATTATACTAGTGTACGTACCGAGCAAGCGCACGGTATAGCTGGCTTTTATACTTATTTCCATGCTGAATACTATTTTGTAATTTACGGAAGTTGTTAGATTATGTGGATACCTGTATATAATATATTCCATTGATGCCAGTGCTAATGGTTGCATGTGCAAAGGTCATCGTAGGTGGGAAAGCACAAGGAGTCGTAAATGGTGATTCCATAGTGTTCGAAGTTGTGGTTTTGGAGGGAAGCGTCGGAAGATTTCGCGATGTAGTATATCTTATCGTACCATAATATGTCAAAAAAGGAATTGTTCGACTTTTGTGAACGGAAAAAGGATTCACCATATGAATGGTTTGACCGACAGCTGGGAGAAATAAAGAACCACAGTCGTATTTTCCACGTTGAGCCTAAGAGCGAGTTCTTGGTAATTGAAATCAGGTATTGGAAGACTAATTATGACTTCTGGCTTCTGGCTTGGAGCTTGAATTCCGGTGAAAGGGTTGTAGTTGTAGGTGTGAAGAGGGTTGATTATCATTACCGTACGAGGGGAACTATGGAGTTGTGTTACACCGCCTTCGTTCTGCCAGCAACGATATCATTCTGCCATAGCTTAATCCTTGAAATCAAAGGCGGTATAACATACTATAATTAATTATACCTACCACATTTCATATACTTAGGGTCCGTTCGGATCGATTTTCAAAGATATTAGAAATATTGGGTTTAATATATATTTGAGTACATTTAAGTAAGATTAATATATTTAACTTAGTACCTTGCAAATATTAAACTATTTCCAATCTTTTTCTAAGCCTACGAACCTTTGTAAGACCTCAAATCATATAAAACCAGTGTATACTATCCGCACCCGGGAACTAATATATTATAACCTCACTAGGCCTTCAATTCGTCGGAAAATCCATCGACTTATCAGAAACATACCTTAATCAAGGACTTGAATCTAAGAAAATGTATGTACTAGAGCTAATCATTGACTATAGAATTTATTCACAGTGAATGTTTATAGGGATGGTAAATTTAAGGAAAAATATATTTGAAATCTAGTGATAACATCTTTAAGCATGGTTGTCCAATGGCTATGGCACGGGGAAATGCTCGGATGTGAATGAGATCTGGGTTTTGGGATGTAAAGTGGAGGTCGCAGTTATCTATATGATTTTGGAGGCATTATTGGCTATGGTCTTTAGGAATTATAACCATTTCGCTAAGGGAGTCCGGAGGATTAGGCTGATTAATTAGCTTTATGACGGTTGCAATGATGGACTTTGGCGGGGATAGTTTCTGTGGATACTTGCCACAAGTAGATGGCGATTACCTCATATCCACGTTGCCATTCCAAGTTGTAGCGGAGAGCTTCGCCGAATGTGTCATTTCCGCCCCGATAAACCTATTGTACGAGTATCGTCTGCTGGAGAGTAGAAGCCTGAGACTTGACCCAGAGTAATCTACGTCTTGTCGGTAATTTTCTCACTAATATTACTGACCTTCTCCAAGACATTTAGATCCAAAGCCATGAATTGAACACGAACATCAACGCCAACTATCACTTTCTGTACAGTGCAACCCACCCGCCTTGCCAGAGAGTATTTCACACTCCACTCCTAAGCACACACCACAAAACGGTAAACTGCAAGGGGAATAGTGGCCCATATCTAGGTGGTGTGTGACATATGTACTTTCTGGCTGCACGAGTATAAGATTCGAAAAATAAAGCCAGGTTACTGATCTCAGTATATTCCGTTAGAGCAACTATTGTTCCTTCAAGGTTTAAGTGATCAATCGAGGATTCCTTTGAAGCTCATAGTGTTTGGCAAGAGAGCCTACATTGGCTATCATGACAACATAAAAAATATCCTTCTCGTTCTCTGCTGTGGCTTTTGAAGACATGTTTGGCTGATAGAAATAGGCGACGATGGCACCTTCCAGGAACAAGAATCCCAGGCTATAAAGCTGAAATAGCTTCATGAGAATCCAAATGAGCAAATCACTCCAGGATATTTGACTTCTGATCATTTTCTGTAACATTCGCGAAATTGCTGTGAGTTTCTAGCACTCGCAGTCGTGGGGTTTTATGGGCAGGACGATGCAAAACACAGCCAATGCTTTGTATCATATACCGTGGTGAAAGATTGACCAAGCTGGTTGATATAATTTGATGGTTTGGATCATTCATCATACGTAATTGTGCAAACATCTGATTTCCATACAATTTGAGAGGTTGCCCGACCCAAAAAAGGCTGGCAACACACGAAGAACTACTTGTACGATCCGTGCTGCTTTCTTCCATCAAGTCGAACTCGACTTACTTTGCCATAGGACGCTTAATAGTTCAACATCAAGCTTCTCCAACTCCTTTCCAATATTTGCATTGTACATAAATGCTTGCTGTAAACTTTTGCCAGGTGCATATTTCTCATTAAAAACCGCTCCTTCATCTCAAACATCTGTAAGACTACATATTTGACGAGATCCTTCACCCTCCTTGAGGTTTCAGATACCAACAGCATATGAAAACAGCCATCCACTTTCCAATAACATGGACTCGTCATATATATTGAACCTCGAAGGATCTGTTACCCCACCCCCCGCCAACAGCTGTATTCCTCTTCCTTCGTCGGAGACCACTCCGGATACATATCATCTCATGACAATCAAATGACCTGTCTTATCTCGAAGCCAGGCTTCCAGGTTCTTCGTGTTTCGCAATCTGTCGATCGTGTAAATCCTATGCTTCTTATGCAGTTTTCATCTCTTGATTATGTATCTCCGAGTGTTGATATCGGTATGCAATCAATCAACAGGACATTAGCAATCGAATTAATATCGAATTAATATCAATACCTCGGCCTCCGTTCCAATATGTACTTCAAAGTAATTCACCTTTGAACGCGGTTGACGCCGTTAATTTAATGGGATCTACAAACAACATTCATTAACCGAAGCAAAAGCCAACAACGGTCAACCACAACCACTGAATTTAACAAGCCTTGAAACTCCTCGCTTCAACCTCCTATGGCCGCTCTTACCATATTTTCAAAGGAAATCTCCGATCCCCCACCGGCCGTACGGCATGACCCCGGTCTCATTACATACCCAATCATAATATCTTAAAGCTTGCGCCTGCACCTGCACCTGCCTCTCTGCATTTCTCCCGGCACTTGCTCCAATCCAGACTCCACAGCGGTTTATGTCCCCGCTCACCGAATCCTAGTCCAGCGCGCCCCACCACGCTCCCTGGTTCTCAGACTCGGACCACCAACCAAGCACGAAGTACTGACCATCGACCATCGAGCATACCCAAAATTAAACTTTCCACTGCACCCCTGCCCATGTTACTCAGGTCCCACCATCTGGCCTCTTTCCAGTTGAATGTGCCCGCATGCCGAATTGGCTGCAACTTGCTTTTGTTTGCCTTATGGACGGTGGAGTATCTTTCTTAGTGCGCTTCCAGGGACCAGGATCGCAGGTTCATTGATCATGCGACTATCATGCACTATGAGATCCTAGCCACAACTCATGAATTTCCACCAACACATGTCATGATACAACCGACGGAGTACAGACAGACCTCATATTACACCAAGCACCAGCCAATTCTGGTCATTGTATTGCTAGCCCTTCACATTGGCGCTTAACAATTTTGAAAATTTACATTTCTGGTTTCGTTCAGCATGAAGGAGGACTAAGAAGAGACCCTTAATTTAAGATGAACTCTAAAAAGGAAAAAACCCTAAAGCTTGAAGCTTGAAGCTTGAAGTTGTTGAAAGAGGGATGTAAAGATTAAAAATCTATCTACCCATGAATGATGACACTAATGATGATGCCCAAAATAAGCGAGAAAGCAAGGCAGCCCAGCAACACTCGGTAAGGTCAAGGGAGCTCCATCCAAAAAATCTATGGGGCGGAAAAACAATCGCCGAGAGCTCCACTACGGAAAATGCTAAGGTATGCTTGTCACTTGTGCTTCAAACACCGGATCCTTTCTTCTAGAAAAAGGATGGAAGGATAATTCACATTTAGCCTTGGGTAAAACCCTAGCTAAGAAATTAAAAGTGCTGCAGGAATTGACAACCAAGGCCAACCTAACTATTTCCTCAACCTATTTCAACTGGTCTAATTCGTCTAACCTAACCTTAACTCGCAAAATTCGTTTTTCATAGAATAAACAAGCATGCATACTCCTTCCAACAATTCAGACTACTCTGTATGTTCGCGTGCGCCAAGTTTCCTTCTTGATTTCTTAATATCTCCTGGAAGGCCGCATAAAAGGCCGCATATCATGTTGAACATGTGCTCGCTCCTTTGTCTACTTTGTGTAAGACTTATCTAGCTCCTAGGTATGTACATACCATATGTACATACTATATAATCTCTTCACACCGCCTCATAATGTCCACAGGTCATGTACTGTTACTCGTCCATGTACTCTAAAACAACAACAATGCACCATGATTCACGCAAAGAAAACTCAATTCAACATATCTTGCGAGAAATATCCAAAGGAAGTGCCACTCGAGGATCTTTTCACAATGGATCTTTCATCGTGGGTCTATCACTTACAGACTACAGTGCATGTAAAGTTAGCTGTGATGAGAACCAGTAATATGCAATGCAATGTCATAAACGGCAATACATTATACGCACATGCCTGCCGCCGATATAAATCTCGTAACGTAACACCAATCATTTTGGGATACCCATCGCCAAAAGCACCACCAAGGGTTTCAACCCCCGCCAAAACAATAGATTTTCGTAGACCTCTGTATATCCCTCGGTGCGTAATGGAAACCGTAACAATTGCTCTAAATTACACATCGTTACCATAACTTAAGATTTACATGCCTCCCCGTTACGAAATGACTTTAAGCAGAGCCCCATAATAAAAAGATGGTTGACTAGGTTATAGCCGGTTGTAACTGGTCGATACTAACGAAATTGAAGGGTTCCGCTCTGTGCACCCGCGGTTCATTACTCAATCCAAACTCCATTTACTGGATCTCTCATGTGGAAACTTACTTCTGCCGAGTAACTCATGGCTAGTATTCTCTACCGAAACGCCTTTACCGAGATCTAATCGTCTACAACTTCCTGGTTGATTTGGTGATGCGCGGTTTGTGTGGAAATGATTTTCGGATATGATTGCTAGTTCTTGTATACGACGTATTAAAACAATGGTAATAATGAACTAAGAACGTTGGATTACCAAGCTTGGCCTGCGGGAAGAGAATTTTGAGATTCTAGAATCTATCTGGATTGCAAATGTGACGAAGTGATGTATTCTAGTTTCTTTAGACCTTAAAAGGCAAATACCGGTATTTTGATGGCGACTCTTGAGTATTCAACTTGGCTTATATAGGTGAAACTAAGAACTTTTAACAAGAACATCTACGGGCCGTCACGAACCCCGATTACATAAATAGCCTCGGAGTGGCATTTGTTTGCCGAAAAGGAACATGAGTTCCACGTGTAACTCTGCTGTTGCCGAAGTGGCAATTTCGTATTTTGGTACACTACCAAGTAAGTGTGTGTAACGAATGGTGTGCATATTGATTTTCTAACGGAGATTGGATGCAGGTAAGTCTTAGTCTTATTTAGCTCACGAAGTGGACGAAGTGGAAAAAGGGAGAGGAAGCGAACGGAAACCTATTCGTTCAATTTCATTGGAAAGCTGTTCATTCGCCACCTTCGAGACTTTGCCAGTTGTTCATCATGAAGAAATTAATATAATAATAAATAATAAATTAAATTCATAAATAATCCATTTTGTAGCATTTCAGTACGAATTAATACGAATTTCTAGGTACTTGGATGTTTGTCTGAAAACACTCTTCAGAATATTTCCTTCAAATGCAGGGTCCTGCAGCATACCAGGATTTCCCTTTCATCCGCTCTCCGACAACTAATTTACTCAACTCCTGCTGACGAAATAGGATTCTAGCACACGAGTGGAGACAACTTCACACTCCTGAGATCTCCATGGAAAATCTATCTTCCACCACATCCTACAAAATCACTTGCTAGCCCCCCGGCACTCTCATGTCGATCAACAAAACATCCCACCCTTACGGGTACAGTACTGGTAACATGTGGTAGGCTGGTAGCAAGTTGAATCATTTGATGTTACATACGGGAGGATTCTACCACGTACCAGCTGTCATCTGTAAATCATTCAACATAGCATGAACCCATCGTTGAACTGGCACCATGCAAATGCACCCACCATGCACCCTCGATGCGCAAAGCTCAAACTCAAAAATTCCAAACAGCAAGATCCGATCCACTCTTCTGACTCGCATTACCTTCCTGTCTTGTATCGGGATTTATTCCGTAGAGTATGTACTCTGTAAGGAATTGGAACTAAGGGTTACAAAACTCAAACCTTAGTAAACGAGTAAACGTTAACCCCATCTATCAATATCAATCATCTATTCGAATTTCAAACCCCATCAGATAAATAGATAGATAAATTATCGACCAATACAAAGCACGTGGCGGGGGATGAACAGATATGAAACAACAAGCAATTAATCCATCATGCTCGAATACCTTGTAACAATGTAAGACTTATATGATCTCAAAGTCAAACCTACCATTCAGATTGAACACTATAATCATCAAATCCACATGTTCATGCATCCAGGGCACAAAGATGTCTCACCTGTATGGTATTGCTCCTCTAAAGTCTAAAGCTCGAATTATACGCATGAGGACTCTGTATTGATTCTCCATGCGCATACATACCTACCTACATACATACCTTGCAAGCTGCAATATCGCATATAGAAAGACAATGTACTACGTTACAATAGGTAGGAATAAGGTTAATCTTCGTGACAACATCGGGCTCATAAAACTCTCTCATTTGCCATCATTTAGCATTATTTAGCATTTCATCGAATCACATCACACATACATTATGCATCACATCATGACGAGTAGATCTCATCCACCACGCACGCACGCACGCACGCCACCAAACCCAGAATCTGGATTCTGGATCCTCGAATTTCGAAATCTCGATTCTCGATTCTCGGCCTCCAAACATCCTAGCTTCCCAAAAAACATAAACGCCGAGAATTCAACAATCAACGTGTGAAGATCCGATAACATCACATCACATCACTTCCAAATCTCCCATCTTTAATCCTTCTCTCAAAAGATCTTCACCCTCAAGCATCATCAAGCAACGCCAGGAAACGTCAGGAAACGTCATATGCGCTGCGAATGATCGAGTAGGCTCTGGGCATGCTGTAACATGAGGTCATTCATTATATCACTTGTTTTGTAGATCCATCGATCCATCTATTCTCCATGTATCCTCAACCCCCCTAACAATCAAAGAATCAAACAATCCCACCACCAGTTACCGAACCCGTGAAAAAGAAGAAACCATTGAGCAAATCCATCCCATCCCCATGCCTCTAACCATCAAGCCACATAAACAACATGTATATACTCTGAGAAGTCGTAAACACACACACAAACCACTCACAAATACGCCACACCACCCACCCCACATGTTTCATCACCCCATCCATCCATCCATCCATCTCACCATTTCATCCACACCAGAACAGACGACGACCAAAAGATCTGAAACTAGGGGTCCTCTCCAAGACCAATTAGCTTCTCCTATGAGTCCTATCCCCTAATTTCCACTAGTCATAGGTGCAAAGTACACTTGTAGCTCTAACATCGTAAAGTCTGGAACCCGTACACCCCCATGCATCCCATTAAAGTCGCCAGAACGTCGGGGGGTGCGAAGAGAAATAACATCATTACATCCTCCCTCCATGATGCGCGAATGCTGATCCATTAAATTCTCGACCACGATCGAAATGAGATACTGCAGATCATGTGCTCGAGAAGGTAGTAAATTCAGTGATCCCAAGTTCCATAAAAATTCAATCCATCAAGATAAAGATGGAAACAAGAATCAAATATAAATGTAATCAACTTCCATTCTGATACTAGTGACCCTAACAAAGCAAAGTAGGGATTTCAAAAACTTCAAACGCCTCTAGCTAATTCAATCCATTCCAATCCCATTTTCTCTTCCATCTTGCAATAACAAAGCAATCCATCCAGCCATTCATTAGAAATTTTCCATTCCAAACTAAAAACCCAACTCCAAACTCGTTATCACAGGAGATTCGTCTTCATAGCGTCATGATATCCAAAATGATATTCAATGATTAGCCACTCTAAACCCACAATGTGTTCCCCATACAAAAAAGTTTGAATCCAACCAATCTATTGAAGTGACCTATAACTCCGAATTTTCGCTACTAATGAACAACGCTGGCGAGTTCCCTCTGAGAGAATATCTTAAGAAATGCAAGAAAAGCAAGGAATAAGAAAGAAATGAAAACGCGACACTTTTTATTTCCGAGAATATAATAGAAGGAAAAAAGAGCATTAGGGGTTTGTATTGTACGGAGAGAAGTCATGATGTATGCAAGATTCAGCCAATGGCTGATCATCAGTCCTTCCATAAGGCCTCGAAGAAGAGCAAAAATGTATTTGCGGCTTATGGGGTTATGTTGTCGTCGGCTGGCAATCATCGTTTGACTCTCGCATACTGATTTCAATCTATGTCGGGGTATAATAATTTATACTCATCTGCATAATTCAAAACTCCACCCAATGCAAGCCTTTGTTTTGAAAACGCCTGTGAGGTATTTGAGAAAGGGATTTCTGAGAATTCGTCACTCGTGAGATGGTAGTTTACCGAGATCAAAATGGTGTAGCGTAGTTCGGGAAATGGTCGGAGATCTGAGTAGAGAACAGATCTCACATCATGCCTTCCTCACCGATGCCGGGCAAACCTCCCATTGGGACTCCGAGACCACCTAGCCCAGCAGCAGCTAAGTGGTTGTTTAATTTAAGATCTGGATCGCAAGGGGTAGAGTGTTGTTTATGCTAAGCTTTGTTAGACAAAATTCACATAATTCTGAACAATTGATGATACTCACATATTTGAGACCATTTAAATTTTTATATCTCTTGCCGCAGTAATCACACTTATATGGCTTCTCTCTTTCCATACCTTCGTTGCCCGAGTATGGAATCGAAGTTTCTGGATTGACAATGGAGAACGTACCATCACCGTTTTCGTGTAATTGTTGAGTTTGATGTCCGTGCGTCTTGTGATACCTGGACCAAATTAGCATAGAATAGATTGAAGGGGGTGGAAATACTCACTTGAGACCATTTTGATTCTTGTAGGCCTTTTCACATCCAATAACGGGACATCGGAATGGTTTGTGCTCTTCTCCCATCATTAACCCTGTAGGATCTCCCATTGCGTTCATGCTCGCCATCAATTGTTGTTGCTGGTATGCTCTCATTAAATCTGCATTATTTGCAAATTGTGCTTGCCCCAAACCAAATTGAGCAAATTGTTGTTGAAGAGCCCTTTGGTTACTAAAACCACCACCGTTGGGACTATAGAGACGCTTAGCCGGCTCGTCGATACAAAGTTCTAAGCCCAAATCATTTCCACCGAAATTGAACGGAAAATTCATATTATTCATGTTCATATTTCTATTTCCCATGTTCATATTCATGGGCATACTTGTATAGTCTCCATCCATTTCTGATGGCGTGCCGGGAGCCGAGGTATCTGGTGAAAATTTCTGTGATTGCTGCATGGGTTGTGCTGTCAAAGTAGGGGTGTTAACAGAAGAAACAGTCGGGTTGTTGTGAATTCCAAAAGAGGAAGCTGCGGGAGTGGCTGGTTGAGATGTACGGAGTCCAGAGTGTTGCATGGTGGAGTTGAGATTAATGGTGGGTCTTGGTTGCTGACCGAACATAGACTGTTGTGCTGCCTGAACAGGCTGATGATGAGAAGCTTGAACCGGCGTATCCGGGGTCGAATCCATAGGTCCGATAGCATCGTCCATTTCCATATCTTCAACTCCATCCATGTCATCGATAGCACCTTGATTAGATTTTTGTATAGGAGTAGCTGGTTGTGAACGTTGCTGTTGGCGCATCAATTGAATACCTCCTACGCTTGCACCAGCTTGTGGCATCTGCAAGCCCGAAAGCCGAGGCTGTTGTGATGGTTGGTTTTGCTGCTGCTGAGCATGATGTTGTACGGCAGATGTATTTGGTGCTGCCATACCTGCTCTACCGTTGGGCATTGCGTTTTCCCGAGCTCGTACAATAGATGAATTATTTCGAAGTGATGCTGGGGTCTGTTGCGCATGAGACTCCTCATAATGCTGTAAAAGGTCGTGTAGTGTTGCTAATGTGTTGCCACAACAGCTGAAATCTTTCATGAAATTGGCTTCAAGCTTGGGAAGATACGAGGAAGAATGATACGATGGTGACTGATATGGAAATGGTGATGTGCCGGCCATGATAATGCTATCCAAAAATGTCATGTCAGCGCCATGTGAATGGAAATTGTGTGCCCCGCACTTGCTAGGACGCTGAAACATTTTTGTTTGCCGTCGAATGCGATGAATGATGCATATGATTTTAAATCACGAAGTAATTGAGGTGAATATTGGTAAAGGTTGGATTAACGTACTCGTCACGAATCCAACTTCCAACGGAAACGCCTCCCCAACTCATGCCTCCCACGAGGCTACCTGCTAAACTTTCGCGACGAGGACGATCATTATTTCTGTTTGGATTGTTCATGGATATGGGTTTTGCTGCTGCATATGATTCTTGTCGAGAACGACCCATATGGTCGTCGAATCCTGTACCGGTGGTCATGATTCTGGCAGAAGTTCGTGAATCTGGGTCGAGGTAATTTGAATTATTTTTATTGCCTTGGGACGATGGCGATGACGAAGCGTTTCTGGTTGGTGTGGCGATATTTATAGGTGAAGAAGTTGTCGTCATATTAGATTTGACGTTATTAAATAAATGGATATCTTCTAGAGTATTGGATACTGAAGAAGAGGAAGAAAGAGAAGAAGAAGACGAAGTGATTGAATGCGGAGATGAATGTGAAGATGATTGTTGTATTTTAGAAGAGTTGGAGTTTAATAAGTTGGAGTTGAAATCAGCAGCAGCAGCACCAGTTGCATCGATAAATGTTATCGAGTCCGGGTATGAAGCGGCGTGGGATTGTTTGAACCAGTTAGAGAGAGGCATTGAGTGGGGTTTATATCGGTACTAGGATTTATGTACCTAGTAGAATTGTCGACTATCTAATTAGTCCAAATGTGGATTAGCTCCGAATTGAAAATTATTAATGGGAAGGTAAACTGGTAAACTACTCTGCACTAGGCACTACTCCGCCGTACTAGGTAGGCAGGTAGATGAGAGAGCCACTAGCCGACACAATAGCATTATAGCACGAATGCTTGGTGCGGACTGTGCAGAGGTGCAGAGGTGCAAAGGTGCAGAGTTGCAGAGCTGCAGAAGTGCAGGAGTGCAGGAGTGCAGAAATGCATGTGCCAGCCTGCTAGGAGTAGGAGTGGAGTGGAATCGGTGACTGGGAACTTTGAAAATTCATAGTGTACCGTGTACGAAGTATGGGTGCGGGTCGGACGAGTGGGCGAAGGTGGGTTAAGAATTAGATAAGTGGAGTGAAGGTTGGGAGAGATGGATGGGATAATGGTTATGGGCTGTCGGAGGAGGAGTGGGGTCAAGGTGTATGTACTCTGTACTTGGGTTCCTTGGGGTCCCTAATCCAAAGACACCAACAAGTAACAGGTAACAAGTACGTACAAAGAAGGAAACCAAAGCACAATTCGGTAATTGTTAAGGGAGGAACCTACCTAATTGGGATTTAGTTGAATTTATTTCTCACAGAGCCGCCCGCTACCTTGAAAGACCCGTCGAATATTGATTGCAATGCCGGTAGTTAGGTGAACTTTTAAAACAAAAGATAGAATCGATGTGTGGTGATTTGATTCTACTTGTGCAAGAAGCTCTTACTCGTGTAAATTGGATTCGGCTGTAGTCGTAACGGTAGGTGTAAGAGGTTTGGGTCTGCTAGAGAGCGGATCGATTGTTGTTAAGGTCAGGTGTATGTAGATAAGATATATGGTTCTGATAGTTTCGTTTCCGTCAGAAGTTCAGAACCAATATTTACAAAATGATACGGGCATGGAGTAGCAATGACTTGGTGATGCCGGGGTGTGACACACGCCAAATGAAGGAGGGTAGTATCGTGGCGCGAATGGCGAACGATGTATGGAAGAGAGAGGGTAGTTGACGGGATGTGCTGCGGATAGGGCAATTAAGAGGAAATTACTTGATGGTGCATATGAATGTACTGTTAATAAATAAATGTAAAAGTAGCTTTCCCATGAGGGCCCATGAACTGTATTTAATAAATACTATGGACTGGGTACTCAACCAAAGATGGTTATCATCTTAAATCAGGGCAACGAACATTTCAAAAGGGTTGAAGCTTGTTTTCTAAAATTATGAAATCTCAGTGTCAAACTTTGAAGTGATGGATGTTTCGTTCGGACTATCATAGACCGGGTTATGCATTAGTGGCCAGTAGATAAGTGCTCAAGCACTTTGTCGGACGTTTACGAGGCTCAAGGCTCTAATGCATTTGGTCCCAACGCTTCGGATGAGACAATGGGGATCCGCATTTAATGTTTCTAGAAGCTTGGAAGATTCTATTATTGATGATGTTAGAATATATCCTTTCTTAGATATATTTTTCTCCGGATTTCTGCAAATATATTGCCGGAATCCTTCAATATGATGAATCATTCGATGAATATACGGTGAGATGAAACTCAAACGCTCTCCTTTTTCTCGTTCGCCAAATCCAAGCGGTGTGTCCTGCCAATATCTGCCGATGTTGTGCGACGGCGTTTTCCCTCACCAATGGAAAGTAATATCCTAGTGTTGAACCGAGACGACTTCTAAACCGTTGAAGGGTTCAAACGAGGCTCTTCTCCTCGAAAATGCATCCTATCAGGATGTTGTCAGATGTAATTGCCATTGTGCTTTGCTTAGATTGTCCTTGAGTCGTGTTGCCTTGGTCCAGGGTGAAGATTCAAGACAGATCTCCGAGCATCATTGAGGTTGTTCATCATTACTGACTATGACAGTTCCTCCCGAGAGATCTAAATATTTCGATTTGAACAAAGTACAAGCCATCGAATCGTACACCTGCCTTGATCATATAATATCTTTAATCCACAATTATCTTCGATGCCATCATGATG